GCGGCAATCCCTCTATTTTTCCTCTCGTCTCCGCCCCTTTTTGCCATTTTCCCGCGCGTTCAATCTTAGTCCGGGAAACAATAAAACGAAGGAAAATAGAGGGATTGCTCGCAGTCTACAATGTATTCTAGTAATATGAATTTTTTTTAAAAAATTCATATTACTAGAATACATTGGTATCGAAGGAACTAGATTCTGTTCCGAAATATCACTTACTCGAACCGTCCTGACCGCGTAGCTCAGTTGGAAGAGCATTGGGCTAGTATTCCAAAGGTCTTAGGTTCGAATCCCACCGTGGCCGGGCATATTTTCCAAGCTCGCCCGGTGTGGATGTACACTCAGAGTAACACCACAAATAACAATATTATTTCAATCCTAACTCACATTGGGACCACGTACACTGTAAGAGCTCAGTGCGAAATTGCCAGAGAACAACCTACTTATGGAACACATCAAACGATGACCCGCCGATGTTTCAACCCTTTAGTTTAATTCTCCCTTCTTTTGCTGCCTTCGTCTTTTCACACCCGCATCCTTACTTGTCAGCGATCATCTATACTTTGTGAAACGTCATGTAGAGTGATAGTATAATGACTCCAAGCAATTTAAAATGTTTACAGAACTTCGAGAGAAGAAATAATCAATTATCAAGGGTTCGAGTAGGTTTTTAAAAATAAATACAAAAAAAAATTCAATCATAACTCATAGTGGGGCCCCTGTGCCCATTATTTATATCAAAAAAGTTCCACATTATTTTTTTTTTAATTTTCCAAATTTTCCCCCCCCCCCCCCCCCCTCTGATAGCCCCTGACTACAATATATAAATATAAACATAAATACATCTATGTGATCTAACAGAACAACAAATTTCATGTCACATAACTCCTGAAGACACAATTTGACACAATCTATACATATAACGGAAAGGAAAGAAAGCCTGGGAATACAGGGGCTTTCGCATAGTGAGTTAGCCGAAATCCTGCTCCATCAAAGCATGGACGAACTGTGTGAATGTGGCAGGCGATGGGGCAGGAATCAGGATTTCATCAAAACACCAGCGAGTAAATGCATTAAAGTTTTTTTTGTTTACAATATAGTATAATTGCATATCATTTTTAGTGTATGAATATCTTCGAAGATAAGTGAACACTATTTTTAGCTCCCCATATATGTAAACATTCACAAAGAGCACGGTTGACTGTGATTCTAGATTACTATAAATAGACTATAAATACCGGACTGCTGGGCATCTAGTACCTGGCCGGGAATGTAGACACGAGGATTATTAAAAGTCTAGCAAATTGTTGTCCAGCACAAAAAAATTCTATATGCCACTGCCGCAGCTATTGATTAGGTATGTCTTCCCCAAAAATGGAAGCTCAGTTATACACACCTCATCTTCATTTTTCACACACAATCCATCACCATCCATTAATGAACACAATCTGTCCTCTGTAATGGACAGGAATTCCTCGGCTCTTGCAACCTTGGAAAAATATCGAGTACAGTAATGGCGCGATTTTATTGCAAGTTCATCGCAACTGTGTACCTCAGCGAACGACAATATACCCAAACAGTTCGTGGGATCAAGCTGGCCCTCTAAAAAAGAACAACAAGCTTTCTGTACGGACGAAATCTGTAACAACGAAGCGACCGGTAAAAGTGCTTGGACATTGCTTTCATTTACAGTAATGTCTGCAGTGTAAGCAAAGTTCACTAAGATTTCAACACAATTCGCGTCCATGTCATTTAATGTTACAACGGACTGTTGACTTTCTGCCAAATTATTTGTAAACATTGCATAGAAGTAGGGGCTACACGATGCTAAGACGAGACGATGCGCATGGATTTCAATGTTGCCCACACATAACACGATATCACATAGTTCTTGGTGGTTCCGTAGCGTGTTCATTGTTGTAAATGCTTCACGTAAATGCTCCTCGATATGAAGGACTCCCTCATTCATCATTAATCTTTAGAAACAACAGTTTAGTTAAAAAATCGTCGGTTTTATATAACATTTACATTTTCTCTGTTTACTTTTCGAATTTTTCAATATTTTTCGAAGGAATGAACATGAAGTACAACCGGAAAGCGGCTATCCGCCTCCAACTACACGCGTAAAAATCATCATGTTGATGCAAGTTGTTCACAACAGGAGCGAACAATGTTGTGCTGCACCCCGTGAACAATATTGTTAACAATGTTGTTGAACCATCAACGTTGTTGCAACTTGTTGACAATCATGTTATCAACTTGCAACAATATTGATGATTGAACAACTCGGAACAACTTGTTAACAATATTGTTCACGGGGTGCAGCACAACATTGTTCGCTACTGTTTGAACAACCTGATCAATTTTTACCCGTGTAGCCAGAGACTTAGTCTAGCCCTCATTATAGTACATCAAAATACAATGAGATTAGGGTACCTTAGGCTGTACTAGGGTACATTAGTCTACCTTCGGGTACCTTGGAGCACCTTAGGGTACCTTGTAGTACTTTAGGGTACCTTGGCCTCACTTAGGGTACCTTGGCCTACCTTAGGCTACCTTGACCTAACTTAGGCTACCTTGGCCTCCCTTAGGGTACCTTGGCCTACCTTAGGGTACCTTGGCCTACCTTAGCGTACCTTGACCTACCTTAGGGTACCTTGGCCTCCCTTAGGGTACCTTGACCTCCCTTAGGCTACCTTGGCCTCCCTTAGGGTGCCTTGACCTCCCCTTAGGTACCTTGGCCTCCCTTGGGTATTTTTATGTGGCCCTGCCTTGGGGTGCCTTGCCCTCCCTTAGGCTACCTTGGCCTCCCTTAGGGTACCTTGGCCTACTTTAGGGTACCTTGACCTCCCTTAGGCTACCTTGGCCTCCCTTAGGGTACCTTGGCCTACTTTAGGGTACCTTGGCCTCCCTTAGGCTACCTTGGCCTACCTTAGGGTACCTTGGCATCCCTTAGGGTACCTTGGCCTTCCTTAGGGTACCTTGGCCTACCTTAGCGCACCTTGACCTACCTAAGGGTACCTTGGCCTCCCTTAGGGTACTTTGACCTCCCTTAGGCTACCTTGGCCTCCCTTAGGGTACCTTGGCCTACTTTAGGGTACCTTGACCTCCCTTAGGCTACCTTGGCCTCCCTTAGGGTACCTTGGTCTACCTTAGGGTACCTTGGCCTACCTTAGCGTACCTTGACCTACCTTAGGGTACCTTGGTCTCCCTTAGGGTACCTTGCCTATCTTAGGGTACCTTGGCCTACCTTAGGGTACCTTGGTCTACCTTAGGGTACCTTGGCCTACCTTAGGGTACCTTGACCTACCTTAGGGTACCTTGACCTACCTTAGGGTACCTTGGCCTCCCTTAGGGTACCTTGGCCTACCTTAGGGTACCTGGGCCTACCTTGGGGTACCTTGGCCTATCTTAGGGTGCCTCAGAGTACCTTACTCTACCTTAGGGTACCTTAGCCTACCTTAGTGTACCTTAGTCTACCTTGGTCTACCTTAGGGTGCCTTGGCCTACTTTAGGTACCTTACCTTGCCAATAGGGTACCTAGCTTGACCTACCTTAGAGTACCTTAGCCTACCTAAGGGTACCTTGGCCTACCTTAGGATACCTTAGAGTACCTTGGAGTACCTTAGAGTTCTTTACGCTATTTTATTGTCCTTAGTCTACCTTAGAGTACGGTAACTTTGCGTACTTTAGGGTACAACCATAGAAATAATAGATACCTATTATTTCTATGGGTACAACCTTGGAGTACCTTAGAGTGCCTTAGCCTCCCTTAGAGCACATTAGCCTACATTAGCTTACTTTAGAATACTTTAACAGGAATTCCTATCTGGACCAGCTAACTAGTGATCACTACTAGGCCATTGGCCTTTTTACTGAACCTTGGCATTTCTACATTTTTATCCAGCTTATCTATTTCATTTATATAAAGTAACTACTGATAGGAATGAATGAACAATAATTTTTAATGGTTATCTTCAAATTTAAAGTATTAACAGAATATTACTTAACAAAATATTACTAGTTTAATATTAGTTTAGGCTCGAGTTTAGGGGTTGCGCCTGGCATTGGTCTCGTTGTCCCGTTTGCGCTACCCCTTTAGGCTGTGGACTTATAACTTGTAAATTTTTCTACTATATTGTGTCGATCCAATACAGCTGATAAGATAAAATATTTATTGCAATTGTAGCATGGTTGTAGCAGGATGCCTAATTATTTGAAAAGTAGCCTATATTCCATGTCACTATACAGTCATATACCGTACAGCTGTAATCTATAATCTATAGTCAAGATGTTATATATAGCAGTGGTGTAACAATACAAGCACATGCCTTGACTGAATAATATTAATAATGTAAGCGGAGTACCAAAGATATATGCGACTTTATTATTGCTTGCTGAGGCAAGTACAAGTATATACGCAGGCAATTTAGACAAGTCAATTGAGTGTGACTGAAAGTCAATTATATTTCAGTTAGGCTATATTCGATCTAGGATGGCAAGTGATCAATAGAGTTACTGAGTTAGTTACGCCACTGTTACACATTTTTAATGTCAATGTTATCTAATGTTTAAGTTTAACGCTTCATCAAAAAGTTACAGCAAATAGCTACTTTTCATTGTTTATACATAATAATTAATATAAATGAACCCGCGCATAATGTACATTCAAGTAATTGGTAAATAAAAATATAACGGGTTATTTTAGTGTTAATAACCATGATTCCGTGACAACAATCGCGTGCAAAAATAATGAGACTTTTCACATTTTTGGCCATTTTAAATTAAGTCGGCCTCCCCCCTGCCCCGTGATGAAAAAGTGGGTTGAATTTTCTCTTTTCAGTCATCCACACAACATTGAATTGGGGGGTGATGGGGGCACTTATACGGTTGTCTCAATAATTTTTGCTCCTGATTGTAGGTTGAAGCACGTTTGAAAACGTTAAAGGCAGGTGCAGTAGCCCAAACAAATTAATGAAATTGTTACAAAAAATAAATAACCAGCTTATCTCGCATGAAGCAGCAATCTTGTTGCTTTTATTTCTGTAAAATAATTAATAGAATTAATAAGGTACCCTAAGGTAGGCTAAGGTAGGCCAAGGTACCCTACTGTAGGTCAAGGTACCCTAAGGTAGGCCAAGGTAGCCTAAGGGAGGCCAGGGTACCCTAAGGGAGGTCATGGTACCCTAAGGTAGGCCAAGGTACCCTAAGGGAGATCAAGGTACCCTAAGGTAGGCCGAGGTAGCCTAAGGGAGGTCAAGGTACCCTAAGGGAGGCCAAGGTAGCCTAAGGGAGGTCAATGTACTCTAAGGGAAGCGAAGATAGCCTAAGGGAGGTCAAGGTACCCTAAGGTAGGCCAAGGTACCCTAAGGTAGGCCAAGGTACCCTAAGGTAGGCCAAGGTACCCTAAGGTAGGCCAAGGTAGCCTAAGGGAGGCCAAAGTACCCTAAGGGGGGTCAGGGTACCCTAAGGGAGACCAAGGTAGCCTAGGGGAGGTCAAGGTACCCTAAGGGAGACCAAGGTAGCCTAAGGGAGGTCAAGGTACCCTAAGGGAGGTCAAGGTAGCCTAAGGGAGGTCAAGGTACCCTAAGGGAGGCCAAGCTACCCTAAGGTAGGCCAAGGTACCCTAAGGTAGGCCAAGGTAGCCTAAGGTAGGTCAACGTACGCTAAGATTGGCCAAGGTACCCTAAGGTAGGCCAAGGTACCCTAAGGTAGGCCAAGGTACCCTAAGATAGGCCAAGGTAGCCTAAGGGAGGCCAAGGTAGCCTAAGGGAGGTCAAGGTACCTAAAGGGAGACCAAGGTAGCCTAAGGGAGGTCAAGGTACCCTAAGGGAGGTCAAGGTAGCCTAAGGTAGGCCTAAGGTAGGTCAAGGTACGCTAAGGTTGGCCAAGGTACCCTAAAGTAGGCCAAGGTACCCTAAGGTAGGCCAAGGTACCCTAAGGTAGGCCAAGGTAGCCTAAGGGAGGCCAAAGTACCCTAAGGGAGGTCAGGGTACCCTAAGGGAGGCCAAGGTAGCCTAAGGGAGGTCAAGGTACCTTAAGGGAGACCAAGGTAGACTAAGGGAGGTCAAGGCACCCTAAGGGAGGTCAAGGTAGCCTAATGGAGGTCAAGGTACCCTAAGGTAGGCCAAGGTACCCTAAGGTAGGCCAAGGTACCCTAATGTAGCCCAAGGTAGCCTAAGGGAGCCCAAGGTAGCCTAAGGAAGGCCAAGGTACCCTAAGGGAGGTCAAGCTACCCTAAGAGAGGTCAAGGTAGCCTAAGGGAGGTCTAGGTACCCTAAGGGAGGCCAAGGTACCCTCAGGTAGGCCAAGGTAGCCTAAGGGAGGTCAAGGTACCTTAAGGGAGACCAAGGTAGCCTAAGGGAGGTCAAGGTACCCTAAGGGAGGTCAAGGTAGCCTAAGGGAAGTCAAGGTACCCTAAGGGAGGCCAAGGTACCCTAAGGTAGGCCAAGGTAGCCTAAGGGAGGCCAAGGTAGCCTAAGGGAGGCCAAGGTACCCTAAGGGAGGTCAAGGTACCCTAAGGGAGGACATGGTAGCCTAAGGGAGGCCAAGGTAGCCTAAGGGAGGCCGAGGTACCCTAAGGTAGGTCAAGGTACCCTAAGGTAGGCCAAGGTACCCTAAGGGAGGCCAAGGTACCCTAAGGTAGGTCAAGGTACGCTAAGGTAGGCCAAGGTGCCCTAAGGTAGGCCAAGGTACCCTAAGGTAGGCCAAGGT